AACTGGACTATTCAAGAGGACTGTTCTGCACAGATAATACTTGAATGTACTTGAATAAATTATTGGGACTATGGGTTATACTGCTGCCTATAGCTAATTGTAAGTAGGAGCCGATTATGTCATTTCCGTACCACATAATGTGTCGTGTGACTACTTATGCCGTGCTTCGGTTCTTTATGGTGGTTCCAGACTTCTAAAATCCTAATATGTTGCTTACTGTCTGATTTTTGTTAACTGTACTGACTCATTATGTGTAATCCATTCTGAGTTCCTGTGAGAATGATGGACTATAAATACTACTGTAAATAAACAACAAACAAATAAACTACAGTGATAGTTTCCCTGGAAGAAATTGCAGCTTCAGAAGGCGGACTCTATGGCATCACATCACGGATGAGCTCCCTTCCCTTCTCCAAACAACATTCTCCACAGATACTGCCCCAAAATCTCCTGAACTGCAGTTGGCAATCTTAAACCCTTTCTTGATGTGGAAGTCTTTGGTATAGCATGCTGATTTAGACCCATGTGGCTGAATTAACTCATGGCAAAATTTGATTGATTATAGAAGACCTATACCCTCATGTTGCCAAAGTCCTGTGTCATTATGCTGCCTTTATCTAGTCTTGTCACACTGTTATTCTCTATGTTTATATCTATATTATCTCCAAGACATTATCTGTACTGCATACTCCAAGAAAAGCTTAATCAGCAAATAACTGGAGGGGGTGGGGTTTTTTTAATCCTTTGCCCCTCATTAATCTCTCCCAGAAGGTGTGAAAAGACTTAGACCGATTTCACACAAGAATCCTCAAAAAACAGGATCACGAAACCGCAGGGGAAATCGGGCAAAGCCGCGGATCAAAATGCGGCCGCGGCTTCGAGTGGGAAATTGACCAATAGAAGCGGGGCAAAGGGAGGCGCGACCACGGCGCAGCTCTTGTGTGAAATTGGTCTTAGTGTCTCCAAAGGTACATTGAAGGGCAATTTGACTGACTCTGTTCTGCCCATAACAGAGACATGTTTGTCTCCTACATTATCAGGATCTGAAAACCTGCAAGAATTGCAAATTTTCTTCACCTCCACTCCTCTCCTTTACTTTCTCTCTCCCCCCCCCAGCCCCCCAGCTAGTTTGTATGTTCTGCTGCCTTTGACAATATGTCTTCTGATGGTGCTGGCCCTGCCCTTGTCAGTTATTTGTTCCTATATTGCCCAAATGATTAGGCTTTATTGGGAATGTAGGCTTGCAACACAGTGCCCATTTGGCCTGTGAGACAACCCAGGTTCATTTCTAAAAAAGCAAGTCTCAAGGCCTTTCTGACTTGGTGTCAGAAGACAAAATGTACAGTTTTGTTTACACAGTCAAAAGAGGCCAGTTCCAGCCTCCCTTTGATTTAGCCAGTGGGAGAAGTAACAGCTGTGATCAACAGGAAGCAAGAGAGAATGTGTGCTCACTGCTTCACCATGAGCTACTTCTTCAGAGCTTGCCTTAGTTGAGGGTGTACCACACCAATTGGTACTTTCATCTGTGTTTTCTGATTCTGAGACTTTAAGTGGCTTCCAAATGTAAGAAATGTTAAGAAAAGATATTTCATGCCTTCTTGTGAAGTTCCAAAGTAATTAATAAAAATTAATGTAATTACAATTTAATCTCTATCTTTAAAGGGGCAATGTTTATTACTGAGCTGTCCATGAATCAGCAGTATATCTTGCTGTTGGCTAGGAGTCTGTACAGTTAGCTGTGTGCAGTTACAGACTGATAATCTTGAGTACTGCTATGAGTTCCTTAAATTGTTTGTGTAGAGAAACCCTTAGATTTACTCTTACTGCCCATTTGAAGATATTTGAGATGTTTAAGGCTGCAATAGTATGCACACTTTTGGAAGTTCATCTCATTTAAATGCATACAATTTGCTGCTGACTAAGTTAGGATTAGATTTGAAGCCTGTGGCCCTATCCACACTTCATCAACAATAAAGTTG